AATGCCCTGGCTAAAGAAGCAGGGGGAGCAGTGTCCTGGCGGGTTGCTATAAGATGGGACAGGAGTTCAAGTCCTCCTGAATGTTTTGCTCTGGCCACCTTTCTCTTTCAAAAGAGCTATAATTATTTCTTTGGTTGTCTTTGGTCTTATCTTTACAGCCTATGGGGTGTCCACCCTCATTTGCTCTCCGTGGTCTCCACTGATATCCCCCTTGCCATTTCCTTGTTCATCGTCTCTTACCCTCCGGTTACCATTTTTATTAGAAAATGAAAGACTTCAGTGATTATATGGGAGAACTGTGTCCAGCTGCTCAAACCCACCCAATGTCTTTTTTTAGCTTCTCCCCATTTAAAAATAAACAGTATCAGGTCCCACTTGCCAAGCCTTTGTCAGTCTCCAGCAGCCATTCCTCCGGCCCATCTGCTCCCCCAGATGCTCAGCCTGTCCCCTCCTCCCAGCTTGGCCCCACATGCAGTCCCTCTGTGGACGAGGGTGGGGACCCACAGCACACAGCAGCCTGCAGCCCCACAGCTCCATCTGCCTCCCACCCTTGCAGACATTCTGAGAGTAACTTCTGACCCAAATTCCATGGACTGCACCACACCAGCACCCCACTTGTTTGCCCCAGCCCAGGTCCTGTGATTTCCAGGGACAGGATGCCGACTGGAAAAGAGAAAAGAGTTTCCATAGAGATAAGAATAAACATAGGAGCTGACACTTCACAGCAGGAAATGCAAACTGGTTTGACAATTTAGTTCTGCCCTAAGGTTTACTTTGTTTGGGTTAGTTCCTTGCCTTTGGAAGCCATTGTTGCAGAGGGAAGTTTAAAGCATTGCTAGACTGTCCTTATACAGCATTTCTACACAGCACCTCTTGTTTCTTGCATCAAAGACCCTGACCTCAAACAGAGGAATTAGAGTTCTACCCTGGGCCTGCACTTCCAGGTGTTCTAAAGGGCTTGCTGTATCCAGACCCAAAGTCTAGTACCTACTTTTGGGCTTGAAGAGTGTCATTAAAGTTAGAGTCCCTGAGGGAGAACCGGTCACCCCAGTGTAGGAAGTGATATTTTCTGACCTGCTCTGCCTCCTATTCTTCTTTCCTCTGGGTCTGAGTGGTAAGAAGGAGAGGAGCCTTGGAACTGGTGGTAAACTATGCCCATCTGTGATTGGAAGCCCAGGAGGTTCTTCCTTTCTCAAGTTTGATGCCAGGGGGTGGCAGGTGAGTTGGGGGGGGGTGCTCATGTTGGGGCACTGTAAAGAGCACTTTCCCTGCCCTGGGATGCCTTTCTCCCTATGAGGGAGGAAGGGAGTTTCTGTGCCCCCACCCATAAGCCAAGAGGGAAGTTGGCTTTATAATGAATATAGAAGAAAACATTTCACCCATGCTCAAGAAGCACTATTGACATTCTGGGCAGGACAATTCTATCTCACACATTGTCAGTATGATATAGTATGTTTACTATCCCTGGACCCTGCCCATCATATGCCATAGTTTTGTCCTTGAGATGACCAAAATTGCTCAGCAATTTCTAAGGATCCCCTGAGGATCATGCCATTCCCAGTTTTTTGCTGCCAGGATATTGGATTACCATCACCTGCCTCATGTATCCTCTGAGAAGGGACCATGATTAGACCAGACCTCCTTTTTATCCTGTTATATTTGTGTTAAAATCAAATTCTATTTACTGATCATTGCCTAATCTGACCAATTGGCAATTCTTATTTTTATACCTCATGGCTCTTCATTGTACGCTAACTTCTATCCCCATTTGGTTCAGTCCCTCACATAAGTTTCCCTACCAAGGGGTGAGGTGGGGGGGCGGTTAAGCACCTCAACCATGACTAACATATGAGGCATGGTCCCTACACATGGACGGACAGCCTGTCTCCTAGATGTGCAGGACAGGGGTGATGACAACAGTTGTTATAGGATACAGAGGAGAGTATATAAAAGAAATCAAGAGTTGAAAGTGGGAACCTTGGCCCTATAGCCCTAGAGATTCAGAAAACTGGATTTATTGATGGAGCTGGCCTTGCCCATGTGACTTCTCACTTAGGACCCCTAAGTATGGAACATACATCTATCATGTAAACCGGTTGCTGAAGCCAGATTGTTCCCAAGGTAGAGAGAGAGCCCCAGTGTCAAAACTGTCACCTTCTATGGTGTCTTCAGGGACTCTGAAGAGGAGAGACGAATTACAGCTGAGATTCACATCCCCTTCGCTGTTAACCACACAGGCCCCCTTTTTTGCTACTTGGCCTATCATTCTTCTCTCCCACTGATTCACAATGAAAAGAAGTGATGCTCAGTCAAGTTTGCTCGTTCTTGGCAAGGCTAATTTTGTCAGTTCAGAGGATGGGGCTGTTAGTTAAATCAGGTTTTTGGATTTTCTTCTTCATCGCCTACTTTGTCTCCCACCTGCTCCCCCTGGGGGGTAATCTAGAACTGCCTGTGAGCATCTTGATTTCTCCTTTCCATCTTTCTAGTTCATTGATTACAACAGCCTACACCTTTAATGTTCTTTCTTAGTTTTTACAAAATTTACTCTATAAAAATTGAATTGTAGTCCTTCATTTCTAATTTTAGACATCCTCCCTTGTCTCTAAGATCAGAGGCTCCTTCATATTTGGTATTATTTTGACTTTTCTTTGCCTAAGTAGAATTGGGAATTATTGAACCACGTAGCCAAGTAATCACAGAAGCGAAGGAAGATCATTGGAACTAGGGCCTCAGGTGCTGGAAAGAGGAGCCCTATGTCTCAGGCACTCACTCTCCCCTTCGCCTCCTCCCTTGCTCTGCCCCTTGCCCCTCAGCTCTGCCTCTGACTAGCCTGGCCCTTGCCCCTACTAGGTCACCCAGCGACATAGCCCTGCTTAGAAATCCAATGCAAAGAGCATTTTCCACTCTCGGTGTTTCTCAGTCAATTATTTAATAATTGTAATCATTTCCTGTAAAAGGAGAACCACTCTGAGCTTAACCAAGCTATGTGCATTCTCTGTCATTGACATTAATATGGAAAAGATTACATGGGGCCTTTGAATTCCCCTAGCTGGATGTAAGCCTGGAGGACACGGAATGGGGTCAGAACAGAAGTTGGAGAACATCTGATTCATCCGGTCCCTTAGAAATCAAATGTATTATCATTGGCCTTGTACCTGGCGAGAATTATTTGGGCACGTTTATGCCAATTACAGCAATTTATATTTTCATGATTTATTATTGGATTTCCCCCATCCTCCTGCTTCCTTTCACCCTGCCTCCCCAGTTACTGCAAATTGAGTCAGTAATACCCAGTAATACCCTTCTCCTGCTCTAAAATGTGTAAACCAGTAGATTAACATCTCCTTATTCTGTGGAGTGAAGAGTGCTGAGTTACAAGCCTGCTTTGTCCCTATTTCTCTTTCATTACCAGTTTTTATACTGTATAGTTATCTCTTATCTGGTCTTGCTTGACAGTGTCCCCTGAACATGCTTGTGGACTCTTAGAACAGGGGAGAAACTAGAGGTCGTCCTGCCTGGTAGCCACTAGCCAGGGACATGTCAGCATCATCTGAGAGCTTTTCCAGAACAATCGGGTCCAAGAAAATGACTCAGTACCTATTATATAACTTATCCACGAGAAGGCCACATTTTCACAGATGAGGGCAGTAAAACCATGCTCGGAGGTGATGATGGAGGAGAATGCCATGGATGGGGAGTTCTATGATAGCAATTGTATCTAAGCATATAGAACAGAAACGGGCTGGCAGGAGCGGAAAAGGAGAAGGGGTCAGAAATTCACTTCTCTAGGTTTCCAGAGGACACTGGCCAAGGCTTACGCAATGGCCCCTGATGATCCATCGCACGGTTGCCAGAACTAAGCCCCCTACTGGAGACACCCTCTAGCTTCTTCCTTCTGCCTATTAGGAACTTGGGTAATTTAGATTTTTTTTTTTAATACTTGTTTGTTTACTTATTTACTTATTTATTTATTAGAGGGGAGAGAGAGAGAGAGAGAGAGAGAGAGTGTGTTGTGTCCTTGTGCTGGGGGAAGGGCAAAGGGAGAGAGAATCCAAGCAGAGTCCCTGCTGAGCATGGTGTCTGACAAGGGACTGGATCTCACAACTCTGAGATCATGACCTGCGCCGAAATCAAGAGTCAGACCCTTAACTGACCGAACCAGCAGGCACCCCCAGATTTCTATTTGTAATTGGAGAGAGCTGAAATCAGAATGCAAGTGACCCCAGAGATGTGTAGGCTTCAGGAATATATTCAGGAAGAGTCTCCAGACCCTTTGCTCCTTCTTTTTTTCTGTGTCTTTGAATTAGACTAAAGTATGGTCAGAAACCTTGGGGCCCTGTGGCCTGGCTGATGCACTATACCTGGTCCTCATTCCGCACATGCAGTCCCTAAGGACAGTCCCTGTGGATATACTGAAGGTGCTCACACACTCCAGGCACAGCACTGTGATCTCACTTGGTAGGGCCACCAGAACGGCCAGTGCCAAGCAATAAAGGCTTGCTTGCTTTATGCAATCCCCAAGAAGACATTAAAAGGGGAGTAAAAAGTGCAATGAAGACCTCAGAAGGATGAGCAGAATTCTTTACCATCAGGGTGGCTTCCCAGAGTCAAGTTAACTGGCCCAGAGGATCACCTTGATCGTGATCTCATTACATGGAGTTGTGTTGGTTATCAGGGTAGTTCTTGTACCTGTAGGTTTACACGCAGAGAACGTGTGGACACATTCCAGCCAAATCCGAACTAGCCTCAGTTCTTGTGTCGCACATGTCAGGGGAAGCCCATTCCGCAGTAGGAAGGAACAGGTTGGGGGGGCGGGGTGCATCGCTTCTTTCCTTAGACCAGAGTGAGCATATCGCTGGAACAGAACTTTTGAGAGCTGTTAGGTGACACCCTAGCCCAGGCTCGGGTGGGCACCCTGGGCTGGTACCAGACAGGGGCCAGGGGGCACCCCAGCACTATTTTTCTGCCCCTGTGATGAACACTGCCTGTCTTCCCCGCAGATTCAGTTCCTCTCCCCACAAGCCCGCCGTCGATTCCACGCGGCCCTCGCATCTTGTTCCACCTCCATGCTGATCTTGTCCAACCTGGTGTTTCTCGGGGGCAGTCAAGTTGGGAAAATCTACTGGAACAGGATCTTCATACAAGGTGAGTTGCCCAGCAGTGCTGTTTTCAGCCAATTTCTTGTTTTCCACGAATGCCGTTGGTACCTCGAATGGATTTAGGGGGAGGCGTTCATTGTTCTGTTCATGGTATGAGACCCGTGAAATGCGAACCAGAAACAGTTCCCTGTGTTTAGCCGTGACTTTCAGGGTCCCCTACTTTGATATACCTCTTATCTATCACACGTGGCACTTAACATTCAAAGGTACTATCCTAACTCTTCTAAACTCTACCTTTACTTTCTATTTTACTGCTCTAATTTTTAAACTTTTTCCTGATCTTCCTTCCTAATCATCCCAGCCTTGGGGATACTGCAAAGTCGGACATTGTTTCATTTACCACTCTGAGCATCTTGCTAGGGAAGGTCCTAGAAGCCCCACTATGCTCCCCCACAGTTGTGGGCATGGCACCTGGCTTTGCCACAGCTCTTTGTTGTGGATGTTTCTGAATGCCGGGATGCCGACGCTAGTGGCTAGCCTTATGTTTAATGTGCATTATGTGTCATGTCCCAGTGTCCACAGCAAAGCCACACCTGCAGCAGGTAAAATGCTAGTCTGTGAGAATTACTGTGAAAACATTACATTTATAATCAGTCAACATTTGTTTATGGTCCCCATTTCCCACGGGCTGGAACTAAGAGTTCTATCGTAGCCTTAAGAGAACTGGGAGAGTGGGAGCTGCTTACCAAGCAGTTGTGCCAAGCAGTTGTGACATGACTGCACGCCCAGGCCATCATCTCTACATCTGGGTCCCTGAGGAGCTGGCAATGCTTTCACTGCAGCTATTTTCATACCAGAAATAACGTTGGTACAGCTGCATGATCCCAGAATGCCAGGTCACAGGTCTATAGGATGGCAGTTTCGGGGAGCCAGGCTCAAAGGGGTCACGAGAGAGGCCTGCTCTGCTTTCCCCTCATCATTACAAAACCCCTCTTTGATCTTGCTTTCTGAGAAATGTCTTAGCTGATGGTTTCTGAAAAGACAATGCCATTTTTAAGTGGAAGCTGTCCTTTAATAAAGATGGAAGCTAATGGGGTGCAGAGGATCTAAAGATAAAAACACTCCTTGTGGTAGGCGATAGTGTCCTACTTTTCTTGCTCCAACCACAGTATGTAGCATGATGCCAAGAACACTGTGACTCGGGGGAAATGCTGACTTGGGGTTTGCTGGTCACATGAGCAAGAAAGCTCCCATCTTTGCTTCAGGAACTCAAACATCAGGTGTTTGCTACTTCCAAGTCACCGAGAATATAGGATTAAAAAAAGAAGCCCACTCAAATGTAGGAGCCAAACATGCAAACAGAAATGTGTCCACAGACTGAGGCAACCATGGTGCCAGATGCATGAGTGAATTTCTAGAGGTCACAGGATGGAGTGGCTTACCTTTTCCTGAAAGTTAGATTTCACAGAAGAGATAGCATTTGAATTGGAGTTTCAAGCAGTAAGTAGGAACTTGCCAGGTGGAGAAGGTATGGACTTAGGGGTGTATTTAACACTAGCTGTGATGTCAGATAACTGTAAAGTCTTAGTAATCTTTCCCCATAGTTCTCACAGTTTAATGTGGGTCCAGTGGCTTTTTCTAGGCAGTGATGCCAGGACCTAGAATGTTCCTATTTTGATTCTCTGCTGTCTTATCCTGGCGATCATGAAGGAGAAGAGAACATGAGGATGGTGCACAAGTACTAAATACTCGGGCCAGTAATGATGCGCAGTATTTCTGCTCACATTCCATTGGCCAGAACAAATCCTGTGACCAACCCATGTGCAAGGTAGGGAGATGTGGTGAAGTACACAGGTATTAGTAGGTTATGGCACAGTAGGAGAGGGCCCAGAAATCAGTTAAAAATGTGGGTCAGACTATGAAAAACAATACAGAGTTTCATCAACAAATTAAAACAGAGATACCATATGATCCAGAAATTCCACTACTGGAAATTTAAAGAAAATGAAAACACTAACTCAAAAAGATATGTGCACCCCTATATTCATTGTGGCATTATTTACAGTCACCGAGACATGGAAGCAACCTAAGTGTCCGTCAATAGATGAATGAATAAAGAAGATGTGGCATATACACAATGGAATGTTATGTGGCCATCAAAAGTCATCTTGCTATTTGCAACATAAATGGACCTGGAGAAGTGAAATAAGTCAAAGAAAGGCAAATGCCATATGATTTCACTTATATATAGAATCTGAAAAAACCAAAATATACAAAACACCAAACAGACTTGTAAATACAGAGAACAAACTGGTGGTTGTCACAGGAGATAGGGGCGTGGGGGGATGGGCAAAAAAGGTGTTGGGGATTAAGAGGTACAAACCTTCAGTTATAAAATAAGGAAATCACAGAGATGAAAAGTACAGCGCAGGGAATATAGTTAATATATATGATGATAATGTTATATGGTGATGGATGGTAATAGTACTTATTGTGGTGGGCATGGCATAATGTATAGAATTGTTGGACGACTATGTTGTGCATCTGAAACTAATATAACATTGTATGTCAACTGTACTTCAATTATACGATCTTTTTTTTTTTTTAAATATGAGTTGAGTTGTGGAAGATGGAACTAAGAGCTATGGGAGTCCAGGGCATACAGGCAGGTGATGTCACAGGAGTGGCTACAGTTAGCCAGGAAATAGGCACCGGGTGAGAAGAGAACAGGGTTGGGGGGGGGCACCTAGGCATGCATTTAAAGGGTCAGAGGGGGAAAAAATAAAAACCCTCCACTTCTTCCTTGGGAAAAAAAGCTGGGTGGGGGGTGGGCAGAGGAAAGATAGCAGCTATGTTCATTCTGTTTCTAAGAGGCATAAAGATCAAAGCATGGTTTGCCCGGCACCCTGTGGGGTTAACATCTGGCACGCAGGGGTCGGGGCTCTGAGAAAACCGGTCTGTTTCTGCCATGTGGGTCCTGCTATGGCCTATGACTGGATATATGTTGTGTCCTTGGAGCCAGGTGCCCGAGTCCCAGAGACCAAGTCTCCAAATAGGGAAGGCTCTATGGAAGCAGTCTTCTCTGGGTTCTGAGGCCAGGGAAGCTCAGCTTACGAGGCATTTACTGTGTCGGAGGTTCTTTAAATCAGCCTGGTCCCATCTCTGTTGATCTGTCCCATGGGCCTCCTGAGTCAGGGAGTGTCTAGTGGGGATTTGGCAGTTGCCTCGTTTGTCTCTTCCCCACTGTGGGTCTTTGTCTCTGAGTGAATCTCAGTATCTCCTAGAGGAAAATAAACCAGATGGTGCCAAATCCCCTATCCTTGAAAACTCTGGATTTCTCTTCATAACTAATTTGATTGACTTGATAGAAGATTAGTATGAATATTCATGATTGGGTACAAAAAAATACTAATGAGTTTATAGGATGCTTCCTCATACTCTGCTGGGGGTGTTATATTAGCTTTCTAAAATTAAAAAAAAATCAGAGTTCTGAAACTCCTCTGGCCCCAGTAGTTTCAGATTTGGGATTGCTAACCTGTACATGTAGCTGCTGGCAGATGAACCAAGACTGTAACACCCTGGTTATCTCTGGCCTCTTCCTTCAGCCTCATGGAACCTGCCATTCCAAGACCCATCTCTGCTCACTGAAGAGCATGCAGCAAGCGAGTGAGCGACGGGATGGAGAGTTCAAGCTCAGTACTTAGATTCCCCAGTTTAATGGGAAGGCGGCCCTTCCCTGGGGGGAACCAGCCTGGCCCCTGTGCACCTTGATCCTTGATGGGCTGGGTCCTGCTGCAATGACAGGAGCTGTAGCAGGTGTCCCTCTACCAGATCTTGCCTCAGTGAGTCCTGAAAGAGCAGAGAGGGGGCAACCAGGTATCTGAGGATAGGGATCACAGAGGAGATTGCCAATCCCCCCAAGGTTGAGGGGCTGAGAGGATACAGCCTCACTAGTTCTCAGGGAGCCTCCTCGCTGCATCACTGATATCCCTAGAAGTATCTCATGATGAGCTTAGAGGAGTTGTCTTAATGTCACTCTCTCTCCCATCTCCGCACGGATTTGTTTGCTTTAAGCTACAAAGCTTATTTTAGTAGCGTACGTAAAAATCTCTAGACTGGTCTCTATGGGGTTGGTGATACCAGGCTGTAGAACCAGACCCTTCCCTTTCTGCTGTGCACACTACCCCACTGCCCAGAAAAGCGGACTATGGCAGCCTAGGGTGGGAATGCTAAGTGGCCCTCCAAGGGCTCTGGTATGCGTCACATACAAACCATTTTTAGAAAGTGTTTTCTCCGCCACAGAGATTGGAGAAGTAATGTTCAATCAATTGTCAAAAATAAGAATCTATATCTTTGCCTTTTAAAGAGGAGAGAAAATGAGTGGGAAATATCAGAGAGGGAGACAGAACTCCTAACTCTGGGGAACAAACAAGGGGTGGTGGAAGGGGAGGTGGGCGGGATGGGGTGACTGGGTGACGGGCACCGAGGGGGGCACTTGATGGGATGAGCACTGGGTGTTGATATATTGTGTGTTGGCAAATCAAACTCCAATTTTAAAAATATACAAAAAAAGGGGGATAAAAAAGTCCCCAGACTTGGGCTATTGAAATTTGCCTCCAGCAGCTTGAGGAATGTGAATGTTGGGCCTTTGTGCCTCAGATATTTAAGGAGCTTAGCTGAATCCAGGGATCTGAGAGGATGTGGTCCAGGGATTCAGTCCCCGGCCTGCTCTCAGAGGGACCCTGCGGTGTCGTGCTTTGCAGAGGCAAACTCAGGCTGCTTCATACATAACTCTTTGGCTTTCAAAAGCATTTGTTGATGGAAAGAGCTTTCTCATGTCTGCCTTAAATCCTTGACATTGAAGTATAAGTTCATTTCTTGAACAAGCAGATGATGACTGTTCTGTAACTCAGAAATATCAGTGAGTTATAACTCCAAGTCTACAAGACCAGGCTCCGTAAACCAGCTGTGTCTCAGTGTCTGCAGTGCCCTGCAGTCCTGTGACAGCCGGGGAGAAAAGGTATTCAGCAGGGATCCATAGACGTT